ATGACGGCAAGATTTCAGGGAGACTGAGCAGAGCCTGTAGCAGGTGAGCTATGTTGGTGGCAAGGATACCCGGAACTGGGCCTTCCGCAAGAAGCTGTACGATCCTTTGGCTCCACATTGCCTTGCTCTGTCTTTCCTTTCTTGTGTGCTGAGCCGCATCAATGCTGAGCTATCTTTTGGAATCCAAGGAGCAGTGTGGCCATTGGAAGTTGGACTGCAGCAGTTCTCAGGTTCAGTGGTGGTCCTCGCTAACAGAGGCGCCGGAAGAGGTCAGCAAGTTCCTGCAGCTTCTTGTCTCAGCCGAAGTCATCCGCTCATGCTCCCGCACCAGCTGGCAGCCATTCCTGCCCAGCACAAAGGTTGCTGGTTGGTAAATTCAGCGACTTTGACGAAGCCTTCACATTCATGGATGGTGGTGTCCGTGGCAATGGTGTCATCAACTTGAAAGAGCTGCACGATCCATGGCAGCATGGGAAGTGATGAGCCTAGTAAGATCTGGTAAGCAGTTCAACCGCCCGTGAACTGAGCGCAATGCCGCGTGAGGAGCGTATGCAGCGGATGGGCGTTAAATCCTTCCGAGGCGAGGGACAGGCTGCGGTAGACAAGTGCTGCGCTTTCCGTGAGTAGCGCAGGGCCTTGGCTCCAGAAAGTTTTTCGCTTTCTGGACCCAAATGGAAGTGGGAGCATCTCAAGAGAGGAGCAGCTGAGCTTGTGCTTTGCGAGTTGCGGGGCCCGGCCAGAAGTCCGTGGGAGGAGTGGACCGAGCTTGCAGATTTGTACAAGGAGGTTACAATGCGACTCAACGAATTTGCGCTCTTCCTGGAACGATGCTGGGCATGTGAGCAGATGATACTCCGGGAGCTGGGTACAATTGAGCCTAACACATTGCCTCGAAGTTTCTACCTTCTGTGAGGTCCAAGCAGGTCGCCGCAAAACCATCATGGCCAGGGGGCTCGAAACACATGGTTCGGCAAACGGCCTACATTGCAAACTTCGTTCCTCAAGAGGTCGTACAATGTTTTATGCTTATGCAACTCATCCGAGGAGTTTTCCACTCCTTTCCACTTCATGTCTGAGCGTTTTCAAGCGAAACAGTTGTTGATGGGAGCGCTGGAAGCCGCTGGAACCTTGCGGCAGCCTTACTTGTATCTGTCGAGGACAGTTCCCATCATCGCGTGGAGCACTACGGAGGGTGTGGGAGCTTCTGGCCGTCCGTCTGCACTTCTCCTTGAAAGGCAGCTGCGCATGATAGCTCAGTGGCTAAGATGTTTTCTTGCACAAGCAAGGATCCCGAAGGCGTGGGCACCATGTCGCGCAGCAAGTTCGAGTGCGCCGTGCGAGATCAGCTCGGATTCTTGGGATCGACTCGTGGCTCGGCTTTCTTTCGACAGCACATCCTCAAGCGATTGGGCTGTCTTGACCCCTGATCCAGGTGTAATCGTGGAGTTTTTGGATGTTGACGACACGGCCCGGCTTTTTCTGGTGAGTCTTACTCTAGGGTGCTACTGCAGTGCTAGAAGCTTCTTCTGAAACACATGCAATACGGTAGCAGTCCTGGAGGGCAGCATTGACTGGAAGGAAATGCTTCAGCTGAGCTTTGGCTGCAGAGTTCTAGATTCTACCAGTAGCTCTTGTGCGAAGGAGAGGTCCCAGTGAAGCCTGACTGAGGGAGCGCTTCATGAAAGACGTGCGCCCACAGAGTGCCTCAGCTCTGCAAGCATCGAGCCCAAGCAGCACTTTCGAAAGGCCTCGGTCATTGAAGAGTCGCATCACACACAATCGGGAGTCGTCTCCTGCCAGGGATGGATCTGCCGCTACTCGAAAGCTGATCTCGAGAAGGAAATCTGCACTCCGCTAATTATGACTTCATTCTGGATGCTCAATCTCGCGTTGCCTCGAGTCGCACCACTGGCCAGCAGAAGACACAAAGTGGGTTGGAAACCGCGCCCGGTAACTTCGCGTCAAGACAACTCGAGGCACATTGACATGACGATGCCAAGATATCTTTTTCAGTTTCCGCTTTCCGTCTGCGCCAGCCAAACCACTTGGGCAAAAGATGGTTGATCTCAATCAGGGTTGTCCGCACAGCAAAGCTGTCGCGGCACATTTAGATGCTGCACAAAAGTGCAAGCACATAGCCAGTCAGCGAGCAGAGCCTCCTGATGCTTAGCATCACGAAGCATGTCGCACCCGTTAATGAAAAGGCCGCTTGCACATCGGAGGAGCACCAATCAGCGCTTCAGCAGTGACCGCATGGCCATTGTTTCCGCAATCCAGCAGGCCACAGCTCATTTTCACGTGGCCCACTCCAACTTCAACGATCATGCCGAATGCCTGGATTTGGCTAGCCACCACAACTTGTAAGCGTTTTCGAGATCGTGGCCTGTCCCGTCTGTGGAAGGCCAAGAACGCTGCAGTGCCGGAGCCCGAGCCAGGCGAAAGCATTGCCAATCAAGTCCGTTCTGCGGTGCCTCAGGTCTCATGATCAGCAACGGAGGGCTTTGGCAGATCCGATGCGCCGCGCTTGCTCAGCCTAATGTTGCATGCCGCTCCTAGGCATCGCACACCTAAGGCGGGACACGGAGCTGGAGCTGCAGAGGCCACAGTGGCTGCAGCCAGGTGTTCAGTATCAAAGGTAACTAGAAGAAGACCTGCAGGATCAATGCACTTCTGGCACAGCCGCCCATACCACCACCGGACGTGCCCTCACACTTGCTCCCTAGCTGAATCTAGATCTGAGGAGGTGAGCTCATTCAGTTAGGCATCATCAAAGCGTTTTTGTGCGATCTTGTGAAAAGAAAGCTAAGGCAGCAAGGATGCCGTTCTGCCATGCATGCGCAACTCTCGGCAGCTGCAGCGATTGCAGAATGCTCAGTTGATCGCTCTCTCAGCCTAGGTCAGTACAGGCTATCGAGGCTCGCCGATGCCCAGCAGGAGCAGCATGCAGCTAAACGTGTGAATCGCTTGCCGGTGTGCGCCGTCGAAAGCCAGGGCGATGCTGCAGATGTAGTGCTGGCTTAGCTTCGGCTAAATAATAACAAGGTGATCTCAAGGCTTCGACTTGATGGCTGCTGGATGTGGGTTTGTTTGCATCACCGTTTCTCGGAGATACCGCGGGCAAGAAACCCGATCAGCCGGAAGCGCGCCGGTTTCTCATCAGGTTAAAATCACCAGATGGTCGCGCCAAAGGAGCGGAGCGTAGAAAGAAGCCAATGCAGCAGAAAATGCTAGATCCCCGATCATCATGGATTCATATTCTGAACGGGTAATTTGTTTGACATGAGCGCACTGCACCTGAGAACTCAGATGTCCCAGACCGTCTTGCAGAACCTGTTGCTGTGCTCGTCGCTGCAACATCCTTCCTGAAGCTCGAAATCTCAAGGATTGCCCATATATATATATATATATATATGATCTTGTCCCCACACTATGAAGCACATGGTCACATAGCCATCGCTCAATCATGTCTATGTACGTTTCCAAGGTCAGACAGGCAGTCTAACATCCTAACGGCTGGTGACGACATGTGGATTGACATATTATTCATGCCTTGCGGCATCCACAAGCTGTCACAGCAGTCGATTAGGCCAATGCTGAAAGCTACGGCTAGGGCGAAGGCTTGGCTGCTCGCGTGGTGGCCATAGTTCTGGACTTCTCGATCCGTTTGATAGTCTGTTGGGTCGTTTGTCGGGTCGTGCCTCGTTGCCAAGTAAGCCCTCCCACAGCCTGCTTGGCCTTGCAGTTCAGGGTCTACCAGCAGTGCGGGTTCAGGGTTTAGGTCGAGGATTTGTGGTTATTCGCCTGGTGGGTTTATAGGAAAGCTGGTATGTGAGTTTATTGGGTTCAGGGTTTTACATTGGGGTTTCGTTTCTTCAGCAGGCAGGGTTAAGGGTGGGGTTCAGGCTAGTGTAGGTTTGCACACGGGGTTTACGGTAGTGGGTTGAGATTCGGTTGAGGGTAGTACCGGGTAGTATTTCGGGTCATGGGATTAAGGTAGTTTGCATAGTCCAAGATTTGCAGAGTATAGAGTTGAGTAGTGACGTCAGGGTAATTAACATGGAACGTTTTAGTGCAGGGTTTTTTCGATTCGTAGTTTACGTTTAGTTCAGGGTACTTTATGCAGGGTTTGCCTTTGGGTGCGTAGGAATGTGTGGTCACAACACGCGCATGGAGTTCTTGCTTTTTTCCTTTCGTTCATTTAATCAATCAGTATCTATATCTATATCTATATATATATATATATATCTACAAGTAAAACCTAGATGTAAACGACATAATTTAATATGTGTGTGTATACATATGTACACGCATATATCTATAATTCGAACATGCATGAACCGTTGAGCTGTGATTGGCCGCGGAACTCCGCAACTGCGTCTCCGGGGCTTAGAGTATAGAATCGGTTTCTCACACATGATTAGTCCATGGGATAGTATCCCCCAAAACCGTATTCCACTTATTCAGGCACCTAGACAGCAGTATGAAGTTAGAGCTTTGGGGCACGCCGGCTTCCCTCCATGCAGGGACGCAAAACCGAAGCCCCAAGTCTCTAGGCCCTCACGCACAACAACCCCAAACTGTAGCACCCCTCGTGATCCTTATGGAACCTTCGCTTCGTAGGACCCCTCAAAATAAGCTCTAAACCGGAGAGTTGTGGTTGATGAGATAGCAGGAGGGAGGGCTTGGGCTGTGACGGGCCTTGGGTGCGAAACTGATCACTCAACCGAGGTGTGTGGCGTGTCTGCACCGGCCCTCAGGAAATTTGCAGAACTTTGCTGCTAGCCGGATCTTGGTGGGTGCTCGACTTGCATTTCGCCGATGTGCCAGAGTTTAAGGTGGTATTTAGAGTCGACCTCATGAATGCGCATGATCGACCCATGAAAGCACTGTGCCGTTGCAGAGCATCCGCTGCGTCTCAGCATCATGTCGGCATCATACCCAAACGAACACTTTATTTGTCTATTGCCGTTTCCATAGTCTCGTTCCTGTGATCTCACACCATGGCGGCAGTAGTGTCGATGACTCAGGTGTGCGATTGACAATTACTGATAAGTCAGAGCAGTTTGCACTCGCGCACTGTGTGAGTCCCAGGCCGACGGATCCAGTCGCTGTCTTGGAATAGTTTGCAAAAGGCACTGTGTGGCACAGACACTGAGATTTGAGAGAATTCGCCTGCCCGAGGCCTCTCCTAGTCGTTTCCGCGACGCTTGCGATGCATTGCACGACGGCGCTGAGGCGGCGCGAAGGCCGGACCCCGCAATTCGCACGAGTGTTCTGGTCCTCGAGCTGGTCTGCAGGATTTTCGGTTGGGCCTCGGGCGTACCCGGCCGCCTTGTGGGAAAGGCAATCTGTGAGGGTCCAGCGCGGCTTGACACACATCTAGAATGCTTACTCTTCTCGAGGATGCGGCGTGGCCTCTCGGCTGAGTTCAGACGCAAAGGTGGCGAATCTACTCTGCAGATCTTGTGCTTATGCCTTCGCCGGTTTGCCAACAAGGCTGGTGGCAGATGCTGCAAAGTTCGCTGTTGCAGATCTGCCGTATCTCGGCCTCGGCGACGAGCGTGTGTAAGTTTTTCCTACACAGCGGGAGTTGCATCAAGGTTCGGAGTGGTGATTGAAGCTTTGCGTAGCGTCACACATCAATGATCGCATGGCAAGGCCTGTGCTGCTCGGGCGAACTGCCGATCTTTCACGGGCTTTGTTAAGTGTCCGCCACGTGCCTGCACCGAAGAGCATTTATTGGAGCCTGATCTGCTATCTGATCAGTTTGTTTGGCGCGCAAGCGGAATCTGCGCTTCGTCATGTGAGGCATGCACGACGTCGTGCAAGACCCCAAAAAAGCAGCAGCCTGTGCTACTCACAAGGCGCTTGACCTGATGGGAGGCCAGCACAGTGGGTGGTCAAAATCAGGGTGTGTTTGTACTCTATCTTGGAGTGCTGAACACTTCTGACATGCAACTTCCGGAATCGATGTTTGCTATCTGCTTGGGCCAGGACCTAGTAGTGCTTTTCGAATGCGCACCCTGACATGTCCTGGTCAGGTGGTTTCGTGAAGATGGCGCAGGTCCGGGTCTCGAGCATCTTCGGAACGGGGACCCCACGCCCGAGTTCGCTGTCAAACACAGAGTTTGCATCGGCGTGCAAAGTGCTCGGTACAGTCCGTGACTGGGGCTGGAGCTGGCAAGAGGTTACTCTGAAAGGACTTCGGGATGCCTTCCCTGCAAGGATGCCTGGCGTCGGGAAGTGGTAGAAGATGGGCGGCTTGTAGCTTGAATCTTTATGCACAGAGGTGGTGGCGCACAGCCCGGCCCTCTTCCCGGAGCCTTTGGTGCGCGCATGCCGTGGTTCCGCGGCCGCAACTCAGTCATAACACGCACTCGCAGGAGGCTTCCCTTCAACGAAACGACGCGTAAGGAGGATGCACGATGTTTCAAGCCACAGACAAGGCATGTTACCAACCAACACTGGGATGACAGGCATCACAAGATAAACGTATCTTTCTCGTCGATGGTGGCACCGAAACTTTGATCTTTGGGATCCTGACAAAGCTGAGGCAGCCTAGCTCAGGCATGGTCCTCAGCGCTTCCAAGATCTCCGCGTTCAGAGCGTTCTGTTGTGCAGATGCCTTAGGCCGTGACGCCTCCGGCTGCGCTAAAAGATATTGAGCAGATTCTGAAGGAGGACGGCAACCAGAAGGCTTGTTGCCTTTGCCCTGTTTCTTTAAGCGTTGTTGCAAACGGGGAGGACCTTGGTCTGAAGATTGGCGATCTCTTTGAGGACTGGAATCCGCCTGTCGCAAGCACAGGTTTCCACTCGCATCGCTGCAGTGATGGAATCATTCACATTCTGTGAGGACTTCGAAGCGGAACCCATGGCTGCAGCATCCATTGCACAGGCCAGCGCGCAGCGGCAGCCTCTTGTCGCCACTGACCAAGCATGCTTATCAGCACAATTCCTGCTCAGGTGCACGCTGCCAGACTCCGTGGCGGAGAGAGGTGTGTCTGGAGCCCAGGAAACAGCCCTGGAGGTGATCCATGCAAACTTCTGCGTCTGCCGGCATGGCCAGTGCTATCACCCCGAAATCCCGAAATGCTACGAGATGTTGAGGTAGTGAAAGTCGTTCGCCCCCGTGTGCGGGAGCGACTGGCCGTTGACTTCGAATGTGTACAGTTGGCTGCGCGCCTTGCGGACCTCATCCTCGGGGAGGACCCCGCTCCTCTCAGACATCTCTGGCAGACCCAACAAAAACCTTGCGCACAGGAGGTCGTCCTTCAGCTGGTAAGTGCCTCGCTCGAAGGATGCGTAGAGGACCAGACTTGTCGCAGAGCCCGGAGCAGTTTGGAGCTTCAGATCTACGAGGAGCTGCGAAGAGCTGTGATGGCAGAGTGCGATCTTGCCATGGAGCGCCAGAACATCGAGGCCCGGAGGGCGAGGGCGGAGTTTTCCCGCTTTGCTGTTCGCTGGGCTGCACTGCACTGCAGGACTTTGGCCGCTGGCTGGAAACATCAGCACCTCGACGGCCTTGCAAGCATCCCGAGATAGGGCAGAGAGAGGGCAGAGAGAGGGAGGGTCTTCTCACATTCTGAAAGTGAGCTGTTCGAGGGAAAGGCGGGCCTTTGGCAGGAAGCTATGGGGCACAGAGGAGCGTGTGCCCTCAACCTGCACTGTGACCAGCAGTACTGCCCCATTGTACGGCTTGGACCTGGCGCGAACAGCGACGACGCACCCAGTGCAAAGGGAGGGAGGGGTCAATGTGAACGGTAGGGAAGCCTGCAGGGCAAAGGCCACGGCGAGGGACGTGGCATGAAGTTGAAGCTGCTCATGTTCACTGAACCGGACGCGCCCTGCGACAGCTCTCAACATCAAGAAACGTAAATGCAAACGGGAGCCACAAGATTTGGACATCTCGCGAGCAAGGGGGCACAGTCGTGCGCCAGACTCTTTCGGAGCTCCTAGCAAAAAAGCAAGCAAGGCTGGACCATCTGGACTCGCGACTTCAGAGCTAAGAGAAAGGCAGAAAGCAACACATACATACTTCCTGACGCGCTGCTTGCAAACAAACACAAGGGAATTCTGGAAACCCACGGGTGTCTGAATGCTCTGCGCGGAAATCAGACCTTCCCGAGGGACGGGAGAGCAGCCTAACTGGGCAGCTACGATGGAACAAAGCATCAGGTAAAGCGATAACAGATATAAACACGGGTTCTAGCAAGCGCAGCTGCACCCGTGAACACCGGCTACCAAGCAATCCAGGGGTGCGGGGAGGCAAACTGCAACAGCAAACTCCACATGATTGCTTTAAATAAACCATGCCTGCTCCGACATACGTGCCATGTGGTGGTGAATTTCATGTCACTACTTGATACCATTCCGGATTCCTGTGCAGTGGCCCATCTTGAAGAGGACCTCCAAGTCCGCACACTTGTTGGACTCTACCGTCTCACGAACTCCTGGATGCATATGTTCCTCGCTGGCTCATGGCGTGCATTGTCGAGGGGCACTGGGGTCCCTCCCTGGCTATTGGCCCCTGCAGCTGGGGAGCTTGATCCCGGACCCTAAAAAGGGGCTAAACATACATGCATACATACATGCCATGCCTGCATGCATGCATGCATGCATACATAACTACATATATACGTGGATACCTATGTGCATACATGAAGGGAAGACAGCAAGAAGGGAAGAAAGGGCGAGCCATACAGACAGACAAACAGGGAACTGGGTCGGTGCTTGTTCTATGCCAACATTCTGAAAAAGCAACACTCGATGCGCATCGGGCGCTCGGGTTTTGGGTGTGCAGGGGCAACCTGAAGTGGACGTGGTGCTGATTCTGCATGGCACGAGGACCTATGGGGGATTTGCATCTCGTCCAGAGCCTAGGCAGTCGCGTGGTCGTGGCCGCATTCCGCAAAACTAGAGCGCCGAAGCGCAGTTCAATCTGTCTCCAACCAGAATGCGCATGGCGTTTGAAAAAAAGTTGTTAAGGGACACCTTCGTGTTTTTGTGGGGAGAAAGCCCTGCTGCATGATCCGACAATCAAGCTGGCCGCTCCCTCCCCCCTTGCAGCGCCTTGATGGGCCTGGAATGTCATGGTGATGGGCCACAGTCGAAAAAGTTTGGAACACAGTTCGGCAAAGTCTCAAAGAAAGGGGCCAGACCGGAGAGCCCACTGAAGCACTGTGCCGTTTCGACAGACTTCGGCAAGTTTGGGAACTCTCTTGCACGTTTGATTAGCCACCAGTCGCCAGTCTTGGACTTGGGAGGTAGGCAGGTGCTCAGGAAGCGAGACCACGTTCAAACTGGGAAGGCTTCAGGCCTAAAGGATTTGAGGGCTCGGGGTCGGCCTGATCAGGCCGAGAGTGCTTGTCCTGGTTGGCAAGGACAGTGTATCATTGGCAGTGCACAGGGTGCAACCCGATATGACGTTTGGAACGAGGGTTGTGGACATGGAAGCCCCCCCTGATATCGCAGAAACGGTGATACAAGGATAGCTTTAGCTTAGTTTTCCGGCAGGGTGGCAGAGCAAAAAGTTGCAGCAAAAAGCAAGAATGTACTTGCAATTCCTGACCTTATATCTGTGTCTATTCGAACTGGCGCCGTCTCATGGAAGGCCACGCTTCGCAGAGCTCGCCTTGCCAGTGCTGTTCGCGTGCCGAAGACCTACGAGGATGCTTCCTCTGTCGCTTGACTGCATTGCGGATGGAGCCAAACTGCGCCATGTGCAGGTGTGCATATCATGGTTACAGCTGCATATCCAGAGACCATGCCATCACCTTTGAAAGCTAAGCCTCGTATCCTGACCATGGAGCGCATTGATGGGCTACCGTTCTCCGAGCTGTGCGCGAGTGGAGGTTCACAGCCAAGCAGTGCTGCGGACTTAATGAAAAGGGTCTGCAGATACAATCATAAGAATTCGGGTTTGCACTGCAGCAAGGCTCCCGACGACTGGCAATCTGCTTTGACGTCTGCACTGAGCGTGGCGGCTGTGTCGGTACTCGACGGCTCAGCTCTCTTCCATGCGGCGGCCTTACACTTCGACCAAGGCCACCTGCTGACGGCTGTCGTGGTCGCTGGTTTTGTCGTGGGGCTAGGGTCTGCTGTGCAATTCGTAAAGTTCTTGTGGGCCACAGGCTTTGTTAGTCTTAAAAGCTTATCTTCTTGAATTGCTGTGCTGCCGTTGCTGCCTTGTTGCTCACTAGGGCCCATGGGAACTCTCCGGAGCTCTAAGGCAGACCTGCATACCGGCAACATGATTGCGGTGAGAGGCCCACTTGCCAAAAAGCCACAACCAGCAGATGCCTCTCCCGAGCCTCTCTGCAGGACCGGCTGGAGAATGCCAGGTGGTCGGCAGCTCAAACTGGCGGCTTCAGCTTCTCGGCTCGGGCGGTTCCCCCCAAGGCCTTCATCGACTTCGGCTGCTGTGGCCGTCTCCCAGCACCACTGCGAGGCACTTTGCTGATGCAAGCCTCGGCAACTTGGCCATGCAGTTGGGATGCACAGACCCGCGAGAAGCCCACAGTCCGCCTCGTCAATCATCCACTCTGAGGCATTTGCTGGAGGAAGGCCTCCAGCGCTGCCACGCATGCTGGGTGTTTTTTGCCCCTCCGAGCTCCTGCATCAGGCCAGATGTGCGACAGTTCTGCGAGGTCGGTGCTGGCAGCTTCGGCGAGCTTGTCGGTTCGGTGTTCTTGTGAAATGCTTTGCAGGGCTTTGCGCATGCCCTGCAACGAATCCCAGAACTTGGCCGCGAGGAGGCTCGTGGTATTCACGGCCTGTGCAGTTCGCTTCACATGGCCTGTGGTGCTTGTTTTCTCTACACCAGATCAGGACTTGGACGTCGATGCACTCGCTGCAGAAGCTTGGCAGCAGAAGGCTGCTGACAGTCGTCATTCTGCCACTCCTAGCTCCTTTGCCCTCTTCGCGCAAGCTTTCAAGTTATCCCGTAGCATCCATGAGCCTGTAGACCTAGACTCAAAGTTGATGAGCATGCTCGCACTCCGTAACGTGGCTCGGAAAGAGTGGGGTCTGGTGCCGCAGTTCCACGTCATATCTGTTGTTCATGTCTGCGGCAAAGGACATGAAGCCTGTGCTGAAGCAGCTTCAGCTCCTTAACCCCTTCAGAGGACGGTCCGCATGCAGCTTCTTGGTATGATTCAGTAGAATGGCCACGCTGAGCTCGGCTGAAAGGAGGTGCTGACCCGATGTCGCCGGAGTTGCACATAGAGCTCTTGCGCCTGCAGCGGGTCCTGTGCCGACATGGGGCAACCTGCCTACATCATCGGAAGCTTTGAGAGATCCCTTGCACGGCAGAGTCTGGCTGTGGTCTGAGGTGCAGCTTCCCCGCGAGTTTACTCTCCTGATGAAGACACATGTCAGCATAGAGCTGCAAGATGTGCGACAGATGCGAGACGCCTTCCGATGTTTTTGACTGCGATTGTGGACCTAGGACTGGTTGCTTCGGGGCTCTGTATTTCTCGCTGTTGGATGAGCCAATGCTGCAATGCGTGTGTGTGTGTGTGTCGATTGCTTTTGACATGACATCCCGCTAGCACAACTGTGCCACCAAACATGCAGCGCTCGGCTCGCCGAACCCACCTGCGACTTTCCACAAAGCCAAGAAACGCCACTAGACACAAGTTCACAACTTTAACCTGGTCCGATGCATAACCATTCCCCGAGAATTTCTTTGCCAGCGTGTGCCCTATCCTTCTAAACTGCATTCTTGATTCTCGTGTTTCCATTTGCTCAATATCTTCAGCTCATCATCGTTTGCAGCCAGCAAACATCATTATGTCTTGAGTCCATCCGTTCGGCTCTGTGCCCATACGTAACAATGCAGCCTTGACTTCCTACTGCAAACTGCACATCGGTACACACACACACACATATATATATATATATGTATATATATATATAAATATTATATGGTAACCCCCCCTGGACCAACCTCTGCCATGAAACTGATCATGTCTGTACTTGTGTTGCTGCGATCTGATATCGAAAACCTGTAAATACTGATAAATTATGTGTTGGTTCTTATGGTCTTAAGCTTATGAGAGTCGCAATACAGTCCCAAAAAACCCGTTACAATTTCGTGATTCTATTTCTTGTGCTGTTACGTACTCTCCCGTTCTCTCTCACCGTCTAGCGGTATTTTGAACATGCTTTCTCCTCAGGCAATACGCTCAGATAGTCTCTTAGAGACTTCTATTCATCCGTCTCCATGCTCGCCAGTCGTCGAGACGAAGATATTGTCAGTTTTATGCTAGTGTTGGTGTCAATGTAAATGCCAATCTCAGTGTTAGTATTAGTATCAATTTTAGTATAAATACTAGCCTTACTATAAGTTGATAAAGCACTAGTAATATTTGTCCAGTGTTCGTGTTAGTATTCGTACTAGTCTTAGTCTTAGTGATAGTCTTAGTCTTAGTCTTAGTATTAATATATATATATATATATACATTAGTATATTAGGATATCTATTATTTTCGCATATTAGTAAATTAGTATATTGGTATAGTTAGTATGGTGGTACATTGGTAAAAGAAAATACTGATTCTTTAGTACATCGTTGAGCGCATGTGGTGGTATTTCATCTGTTTTAGCAAGATGTATATTCGCATACAGTAGTATGTGTGTATATATACACTAGTATTAACTATATATGATTAATATTAAAAGGAATATGAATGGGATTATCGTGTTAGCTATATTATTCGTGTTAATGTTGTGTTAATATCAGTACTGAAAGAAGTGTTAACATTGGTCTAAGTAAAAAGAATGGAAAATCAAAATTTGAGTGTTTTAATATATGTAGGAAGATTAATACTTCTTATGTTAACAATAGTATTGGTATTAATGTTTGTATCAGTATGTATATTTGTATTAATATTACGAGAAATATGAGTTTTATGGCTAGATTTTTCAATGTTAGTACAATTCTTAGTACTTTTTGATACTCAAGCTAGAGCTGAAATTAAAACTGATATGAATACGAATATGTTTATCCGTGGGAATATTTTTAATCTGAAAATAAATGTTAGTATCATTTACTACTAATATGAATATGAATATTAATACATTTGTATTATGCATAATAAGAATATGAGTGTTGGTATTCATAGGAGTATATAGGAGTAGTACTTACATCAATGTATGTATTTGCGTTGATACAAGCATTAGTATG